GCGAGATCGTGCGACTGCAACGCTCGCTCACGGAATCTAAAACAGCACACAAGGCCCGTGAAGTCCAACTTCGAATTACGAAGGAGGAACTTCAAAATGCACGCGAAGCGCTCAATGACACCTTTGCGGAATACTCTGGTCTCCGTGATCAGCTGAAAGCCATCAAACAAAACTTGGGCCGGGACCATCAGGCGATTGTATACCGGAAAGACATCGAGCTGTTTGCACTTCGAAAGGGCAACGAGCAGAAAGACAAAAGCATACAGGACCGCGATAGCCAGCTTGAAGAAATGACCAGGCAACACAAGACGATTATGGAAGTCAAGGATGCGCAGTTGAAGCTAATGAGAGAGCGGTTGATCTCTATGGAACGACAGTCGAGCCCGCGGTTCTCGGAAGACGGGGACGATGGGCATGCCCTTGAAGTCCGAATGCTACGGATCAAGAAGGGCAGAAGTTCTCCGGAGGTTGAGGAAGACAAGGATGTGATTATTGCAAAGCTGCGAGAACAACTCGCTGCCAGTGCCCAGACCAAGGAGGAGGTTGTCAATCAGCAAGCCGAGCTGCAAAGATCATGGGATGTTGCTAAGAAGATCCAAAAGGCCCTCAAGGAAGAGCGGGAAAAACACACTCAAACTCGAGAGCAGTTGGAGGAGAGCGCCGTCAAGCTGGCGGAACTTGAGCCACAGCCCAGAAGTCGAGCAAACTCCGTCGGACGATTGCCGACGATTGACGAGGATGAGCACGACAAGGAGGAGCTCGAGGCTATGTTCAACACCACCCAACAAGACAACCTTCGCCTATACGCTGAGGTGGCCGCTCTCGAAAAGCGATTGGTCGAGGCTAATGCCCGCTTGTTTACTGCGCTTCAAGAGGCTGAGGCTATCAAGGTGCAGCTCAACCAAGAGATGGAAGTCAACGAGGACATGGAGACCGCGCGCCCAAGCGTAGTGCATCGTGTTCATTTCCAGCGCATGGAGGGTCAGGTGTCCGAGCTACGCGAAGCACTCGCCAGCAAGGACGAAGAGATGGAGTTGCTGAGGAATACCATTGCGGAGAAGGATCACTACGTCAAGGACATCCAAGGTGAACTTGACGCCGCTGCCACCTTCCACACACAGGACCAAGACGAGATTGAACGCTTGCAGCAATCTATCGACGAACTCAAAGCCACCAAGTATCAGCTCATGCTCGATCACGAGCGCCTCGGCTCCCAGCGCACCCGGCAGCGAGTCATCTCCATGGACCGACCTGACCGATTCTCTGCTCGCTCAAGTGGTGCGACACTCATTCACGAACCGAGTCCACCGCTGACGAAGATATCAGACGAGGCACCACCCGTGGAAGCGATACCGATCCCACCTATGCCCGTAGTCCCTGAGCGCGAAGGCAGCATCCAAGAGACTCCCCAGCGCCATCTCCGCAGCAAGAGCTCGCCGAAGGAGACGCCAAACCGCTGGAGTCTGATGTCGCACGACGTCCCACCCGCTGAGTTGAGAGAGCTCAAGACCAACCGCCGAAGGAGTCTCGGCCTGAAAGTCATGATGCAGAAGATCGTCCGCAAGACTCAAGAGCCCGAGCAACCATCCACCGACACCGCGACACCAGCCCCCGAAGCCCTTCCCAAGCGCGAAGAATCCAAACTGCGTCGCGTCCTCGCACCCAAGGACAAGAACATGTCCATCCGTCCTTCCACCGCCGCATCGGCCATTCCATCTAAACCCGTCGGCTCCCAAGCCGCCGATACACCGTTGACTTCGCCTCTTCCAACGAACGTGCGTCCGCCGAACCCGCGACGCAACACACCGACTACACCGCGCTACTACGCTGTTACTGCGAATGCGACGGGTCCGGAAGCGGGTGCGGCGCAGAAGGATGAGGCGAAGGAGAAGGAGAAGGAGAAGGAGAAGGAGAAGGAACAGGAGAAGGAGAGGCCGAGGTCCGCGATGGGGCCTGAGGCAGCGGCGAAATCGAAGAGTCGGTTGAGTTGGGGTGCTACGTAAGTTCAAACTAACCCTACTGTACCCTGTGTTTGTTGCTAACGTAACGCAGGAATAAGCTGAAGCGACGATCATTGTACTAATGATGATGTGAAATGGGCATGCGAAACGTGGTGTATGCATATGTTTGTTATGGCGTTCAAAATGGGGGTTTCGCGAATATCCTGACATACGAGTTTAATGCTATCCGATGATATACGCTCGGTAGATGGGGTGGTGGGCTTGGTTGGGTCTTTTTGGCATTTCCAATGGGCAATGGGCGTTTTGTTAGATTTGCGTATGCATTCGTTTGCGGACTTGGGGTTCGTTGTCTTAGCGGTTTTAGTAATGAAGATATTTACATTTCATGGTGGTCTTGGTTGCGCCTGCGTGTTGTGGTACTGCGGTGACGCACCAAACACTCCAACGAACAACATCAAAGCTATCGCAATCATGATGTATACTAAACTACTATCTCAATGACCTGCCCGAAGGACCAGGCCGCATGCGGTCTGAGTTGAAGGCGCACTCTATTCATTCTTTTGCCTGCGTGTTGTAGTTGGGAGGTTTCCGTATTCGGTATGGGTTGTTGTTGGTTGACCCCACTTTGCACGTGAGCAGTGTGGCACAGTTCTCGAGCACTTCTTTCCTGGTGTCGCTGCCTAACGGAATACTCATGCACCATCAGAATCGTGGCAAAAATCTCGACGCAGTTGCGATCATGGAGCTACACAGGGAAACACCACTCCATGAGCTATACCCCACCCCAGAGGCTCTTCACGACGCACTCCAAAAAATCAACGACATAGCCCTTTACGAAGTTTCAATCGATGAGCCAATCCAAATTCGCCTTGTTACACCTGTATCAACCGACCAGTGGCTTGTAGACGACAAATACAATGACTATCGGCTCACGGATCCGGAAGAATACCAGGACGGCCTGAAGTATGTGACGGTATCATACTGCTGGAAGCAAACGCAAAGCTCGCTCGATTGCTCGGCACTTCCGCGCTATCACATAACGGGTCGACCGGGAACAAGCGAACCAACGCCCATCAGCTGTCCCGAGCTGGTCTTTCATCGCGCTATGCTGTTCGCACGATCTCGTGAATGTCCATACCTTTGGATCGATCAGGAATGCATTGATCAGGCAGATCCTATGGATATTCAAGAACACTTGAAGATCATGCACCATGTTTACGAAAGAAGCATGTGGACAGTCGCTCCACTGTCGTATACGATCACTGATATGTCCCTTGCTGAGTCGTTGACCACGTATCTTTGGGATGATCGAATCAAGTATGCACCTTGGATAAAGGGATGCGATGCTGGATGGGACGATAGGTATACCAGTAACTTCCAACCATACCTTAGGGACTCGTACGAGCTACTTGATGCCATTGGAAACGATAAGTGGTTCACACGGACGTGGGCCTTTCAGGAAAAGCTTTGCGCTACGCGGTTGGACTTTCTAGTCCCCATGGATGAATCTCAGGAGACTTCAGATGCAGTGCAACACCATCTTATAGGGACAGACTTATGTCTGGACCTTCGCCAGATCCAGATCCGCCTCGCCCTTCTTAAAGTTAAGATAAACGATACACAGCAAGCAAATAATCCAGGGTGTCATAAGCCGTGGTCCATGCAACAGAAGACGTCTGTCGAACACAAATTTGGTGTGTATGGCTTCCCTTACCCGGGCTGGAGTACATACACCCATCTTATTTATCATACCATACAAGAGTGCGAGAACCTCGTTGTAGCGGATCGCTTAACAATCTTTGGTCACGCATGTCGCCTTTACTGGCGTCACGTCTCTGGCCTTCTGGATAGCCCTCAGTACGATCTCAATATATGTATCATGGCTCTAGTATTCGCGAACTTCCACAAAGGCAGGATACCGCTTGCGCACTGGGTCAAGGAGCTGTGGAACCACTGTAGCGTTCGTTCTGGTGGAAAAGATATCACGTCGCCGCACTACATGGATCGGGTGCTTAGACGCGTTAGGATGGCCCGGATTCCCCGTCGTAATCGAGACCAGACTCTTGGCCGTTTCGAGCTTTCCGACTCCAAGTAACTTACGAGGGACAGAACTGCAGCAAGAGCGACCTGGGAGAAGATTTAGGTAGACTACGCTATCTCCAACATTGCACCAGACGTGCTTGGGATTGCAAAGGAAACAAACCTAGACTATCATGGGAGAGAACTTGGTAGATTTCCAGGCTGAACTGTAACTCAGGCCTCGTAGCTTTCGCCAAGAAGCTCGAAAACCGTGAAATCGTCTTCTCGTCGCTGGGAACATGGTAACGTCTGGCAAGGGGACGTTGTCGGAAGGAATGGATAGATCACAGCTGAGTAGCGCTAGCTAGGCTACGCACGTTCCTTGACTCTTTCGAGGAAGCCAGCGCTCACCTTGCTTTCTTCTTCCACACGTTTAATCGACCACGCGCTCATCGAAAGCCCCAAAGCGCATCCAACGCGCATTCTTTCCGCGAATCTGAAGAGACATGTAACCCAACAGCCACTGTGCCCCTCCCAATCGCGCTGGCAACGCCACTGTGCCCCTTGCCCCGCCAGCTCAGCATCTACCCCACTTCGCGTCGTGCTGTTATTGGGCGCGCGTGCCCTTCGACGCAGAACAACACGCGTGATAGACCTCGCATGAAGGACCATCGCATATGCAGCCTTTCTGCTAGCGATTGGACGACTGTGCCCTTAATAGATGTGGCTTATTGACGTGTCAACGCCACGGCTCACCGGAGTCTGGGCACTTTGGGGGCGAAGTGAGGCTCTGTGGAAGCGATGAGGTTGGGGATTGATGTCACGATGGAGATGGCAAGGTTAAGGAATGACTGGTATTTCACTAACTACAACTATCAAGGAGCGACCTAACTAGAAAGCAAAAAGAGCAGCAAAAGCTCGCAGTAACGAGTGTACTAACAAGCAGCGACAAGAGTGTAAAGACTGACATGCGTTACTCGAGAAAACATTCATGAGGACAGGACTTGGGACACAGAACAACTACAGGCGCAAAGGGTTGCGACCTCCATGACCCTTCTTGGCATGATCGCGAAGCTTGTCTGCGCGAGAAAACGTCTTGGGGCAATCGACCATGGGGCATCTATACCTGGCAGGCTCGTGAATCATCATGTGGCGACGATACTCTCCGCCGCGACCAAAGGTTGCTGGACATCCATGTGGACAGCCGATACGGTCTGCTGCAGCAGGAGCAGGAGCAGGGACCGGGGCTGGCGGGGCTGAGACCATTGCTGAATAGGGCGCTAAGTTCAGCTGAGCGCCAGCTGGGATGGACATGTCTAGCTGATCAAAGTTCTGGTTGTTGTCGAAGTCCCAGACGGGTGCCATCGAAGCCATTGGGAAGACAGGTTCCGTTGCAATTCCATCGTATGCAAAGTTCAACGGGTCGTGGGAACCAGCGTCGAGATTGAACCCTCCAGGACGGTAGACATTGGGGGTGGCATGGTCCCAGGGGTTGTATTGACAGGGGTATTGAGGTCCAGCGTGTTCCGCCTGCCCAAGGGGAAGAGTTTCATTGGCTTGTGCAACTTGCTGGGGAAAGGAGGCGTAGTTGTGATCGACGACTGGCTGATGGAAGGGCCCAGAGCACTCGCCAGGGACCGAAATGGGAACGAATGCCGGTTGATGGGAGGCATACCTGCATGATATTAAAAAAAAAAGTGACTTACCCAACGTTCTGGTCGTCGTCGTCGTGGCTCTCCCAAGACGCCGAATAGTCGTGGAAGTTGCAGGAGTCGCGTTCGAAGGCCGTTCCAGAAACCCGTTGCGACATCGTAGTAGCGTAGTGGTTGCCTGTATGGATTCAAGTGCTCTCGTAGAGACCGGTGGGAATGGTGTATCGTTGTGTGGGTACAAAGAGGTCGACGTAGAGGGCCTTGAAAAGTTGACAACGGGAAGTACGTGTGGGTACAAAGAGGTCGACGTAGAGGGCCTTGAAAAGTTGACGACGGGAAGTATGTGTGGGATCAACTGGGGAGAGGAGATATTTATCAGCTTATGTGAAACCGCTTGCGACATTAGTAGTACAATGGCGGCGGCGTACGTGCCCTCTGGAGGGACTCCAATGCGCCTAAGCTGCTAACTTAATCTAGTAGTCAGCCAAGAAAATGCCTTTGCGTCCAGTGCCTTAAACCTACCTAGGTAGGTGCGGATCTACGCTGCAAGCCCACCGATGCTATGCGACAGATGTCAAAATGACCTTCGAGATGTTCAAATGCCATCTCTGTCATAAGCAAATTGACACACAAGGAAAGCTAAAGTAAGCTAATGAATTTTGTTGTGCTAAGTCGTGGCTAACGCATAAAAGTAAGCATCTGAGGACACATACGAAGCCTTTCCTTTGCGGAACGTGCCAAAAAGGCTTTGCCCTCCGCTTAGATCTGAGCCGCCACATCAAGTCGCAACACCGCGCTGGCAATGAAAAGCATCGTTGCAATGTCGAGCACTGTAAATTTGCATCAAGTCGCAAAGACAACGTCAGCAGGCATCAAAAGAAGGCGCACGGTTCCATACATCAGGGCTTCCCAGTCCGGAAAAACGACGAGACACAGTTGTCTTACCAGCAGCCTGGTGTGCTTGGGGATGCACAGCTATACAGTGTCTCAAACCTCATGCGAGTAGCCGCTTCAGGCGATCTGGACAGGCTGAAAACTCTTCTGGACGCAGGTTTGACAGTTGAGACGAGGGCTGATGATCAATCCACCGCCCTACATTGTAGTGCTAGAGCTGGCCAGGCAGAGGTAGTCAAATTTCTCATTGATAATGGAGCAGATATCGAAGCGAGGAACGAAAAGCATCGACTACCGATACACGAGGCTCTTATGAGCAAGAGCTCTGAGACTGTGGATCATTTATTCGAGCAACTGCCACGGGAAAAGCTTCTCCGTCTGGCCTCAGAGCTGGAGTGGTATCTGATGCAATCGACTTCTATCAGCATTGTTGATGCGTATATCACACGCTTGGGGGACACCTTCACAAACCGAAAACTCCCAAAAAAGCTTCACTTTGCAGTACGCACAGGTCATACGTCGCTCTTAACCACGTTGCTGGATAATCCAAATGTCGATGGCAATAAAGGATGTGGGTCAAACTATGCTCCAATACATCTAGCTGCTGCATTTGGACAGACATCTATCATGGAGGTCTTGATTTCTCGCGATGACATCGACAAGACACGGCATGTCTCCTCCAGAAGCATGCAAGCACTGCATATAGCCGCCTCCAGAGGGTATACCGCAATTGTGGGAAAATTAATCCACCATCCAAGTGTGCAAGTCAATTGCAAAGACAGGGATGCGGCGACACCTCTACACTATGCAGCCTCCAATGGACACTGGGAAACAGCTTCTTTGCTTCTCAAACACTCGGAGTCGATGGAAGAAGGTCGTTGCACATCATCTGATGTCCCACCAATAAGTCTCACGTTCACCAAAGAAGATTTGTTTCACAGGCTTTTCAAACATCCAGACTTTGGAGGTCCAAACAAAAAACTACCCGGACCGCATGGGACTATTCTTCAGGTCGCTATTAAAAAGGGCGACTGCGAAGTCATCGAAATTCTGTTAGCTTGTCAAGATATCGATGTGAATTTGAGGGGTGCTAACGGCTGGAGTCCTCTGACGAACGCTGCTCGATACGGCGGATTCAAAGTAGCGCAGCTACTTCTGCAGCATAAAGATATCGATGTGAACCAAGGCACAACGCACTGGCGGAGGGAAACGGCGCTGCAGTATGCAGAAAAGAATAAGCATAACGAGATCGTCGACCTCCTCCTGTCCCACGGCGCCATCGACTACCGCGCCAAAGCATCAACAACCGTACCACCATACGTGCACATCGACAACTCGCAAAATACCACTTTGCAACCCGACCACGAACCTCACTTCGATCCGTTCGACAACGATATGAACGACGCACCAACCGAAGCTTGGGAAGAGTTTCTTGATATGGAAGGAGGAATGGAGGAATAGACTGATTTCATTAGGCGTTACGTGGTTTCGGGTTTGGTAAACACGCTCTTTACTAGTAACATGTCAGAAGAACGTCCTTTTCTTTCAAAAACATATCTTGGTAGTCTTTAGTAAAGCTTAGGAACCTCTTGTCTCCTAAGAAATTATTTCTTGTCTAAAACACTTCACTGCCGTTAACTCTCCGCTTGGGATCATCGATAATACCAATGTCGCACGCAATGTGACTTTAAGCTGCAAATGTTGGGCTCAAAATCTCATCTCTCAGTGCTAGCTTAACGCTATCGCATCATCATTCATTAAGTATTACTCTAGACTTCATCCAAAACCTACCCACTTCTCTTACACCCACTCCTACTCCTCAGCACCTCCCCATATCTCGCCAACACAAACGGTATACACGCACCCAGAATACTCAAACACCCCAGCAACGTACACGCCCACTGCGGCCCCAATCTACGAAACATCTGGACTGCGAAAAGAGGAAAAGTACCGCCAAGTACATATCGCAATATAGCATTCGAAGCCATAGCACTAGCACTATAAAGCGGCCCATATGTATCAGTGATATACATCATGCACGCCATGAAAATAAGCATGTTACCCATTCCGAAGAAAGCTTCGGCAATAGTCGGCACAATCCAATGGACGCGGTAAGCAGCCGACCAGCCGAAGAGGAAGAGGCCGATTGTGAGAATAGGTCCACCGGCGAATGCGAGGGGTAAGCGCTTCTCGGGTGCTAGTCGTGATGTTGCGAAAGCCGGTGCTGGTGTCTTCTCTGCAATCGCTTTGCGTACGCGAGGCAGGTAGTAAAGTTTACTGAATGAAACGATGCAGATGGTAGCGACGATGACGCCGACGCCCAAGCCCAAGAAGGTGTAGCCGGTGGAGAGACTATCGAAGCCGTATTCTGTTGCGAAGACGTACGGGAATGCCGCGAAGAAGGCGTATAGCAAGCCGAAGTTGAAAGCGGAATATGTGTTGAAGGTCGCAACAATCGGCTCGGTGAGCAGCATATGCATCGGCCGCGTGAGTGTCTTGGTCGCATATGTACTAACAATCTTCGGCAACGACATGCCTTCAGTCGGCGACCGCGGCAGAGGAAGATTCCGCTTCTTCGCACGTTGACGCAGGAGGACGGGCTTGTATGACTCTTTGTAGAACGGCGCAGGCGCAATGACAAGCACAATGGTGAAGAAGAGTATCAACCAAGACGTCCATCGCCAACCACGCGTCTGTGTCACCGCAGCACCTAGAATAGGTCCTAAAGCTGGACCCATGAATGGCGTTGCGACATACAGCGACATGGGACCAGACCGCTTCTCAGGCGGCCAGATGTCGCTCAAGGTGCCTGATCCCATGCTCAGACTGGGAGCAGCGAAGAAACCAGCCCAGAACCTCAGCACTACTAGGCTTGCCATGCTTTGTGCGAAACCCGTTCCGAGGATGAAGAGCGCGAAGATGGGCAGGCTGATGAAGATGAGGGGTCGTCGTCCGAATGTTTCGCTCAGAGGCGCTGCGAAGGGGCCGCCGAAAGCCAGTCCCAGAGCGTAGATCGAGTATGCGAAGGTTGCGATGAGTTGGGTGGAGTGGAGGTCTGATGCTGATTGTTCGATGGCAGGCGTGAAGACGGATGATGCGAAGGTTCCTACAAATGCGATGCCTGATATTGTGTATGTTTGATACCATTTTCGCGCTGCAGTCCAGTTATGAGGGTTCAGAGGATCGTCTGGACCGTCCCAGTCGAGCGCGGAAGGACGATCTTGTGACGAGGCATGAGGAGCGCATGGTGTTGCTTCTTGACCAGCATTCGTTGGATGACCTTTCTCGGGGTCGTTACCTGGATTCCCATCTGCTATCGTCGACGGTTGGCGACTTTTGTCATGGTCCTTTTCGATGTTGACGGGACTTGGTGGTCTTGTTGATGCCGCTGTAGTATTCGACCAGGAAACGGGTCGTGAAGCATTGTGAAGGGCCATGCTGTGTGTCTTTCACTTTGCTGTGACGAGGGCAGCAACAGCTGGCAAAATTTCGACAGAACTTTCGCAGGACATGACAGAGGCGCTCGCGCCACGATCTTAGTATGACCCACCCTGATGAGATTCCGATAAGCAGATGTTCTGAACAGACGGCATGATCGCCGCTTGCATGTTAGTTTGGTGTTGATCAGATATAGAGATGCGATCCTATGGATAAGATTGGTAGGCATCGAGACTGTGCATGGCCGATCCTGGCTCAGATCTTTCCAAGAATCGGCAGGTTGAGCTTGTGCGAGATCAAGATGCGGCTGAAATTGTGGGTCGAGTGAAGCTAAAGTTCGGGACCGTGCCGGCGCTACACTTGTGAGTCGGGCGTGATGACGTCCTTTCTTCGATCTCAACAGTTTGGAGTTACTAACAATAGTCATAAGAAGACTAGATGAGTTCTTGACGAACTTAGAGGAACACGTTCACAGGCTCGAGTGTTGGTCATCTTTCAGGTCGCTAGAGAATGCGCAAATACGCACCTAGCTTCCAGCCCAGTCCAGAGAGCTGGGAACGCGATGACGACGTACATGTCAAAGGCCGGGATCCTAGCTCTTGTCGCGCTCTGATGAAATCTGCAGCATAGTTTCGAACAGCGTGTCGCGAATCAGCAGCGCATGTCGTAGCGGTCTGAGCTGGAAGCCCTGACTCCTCGCCGAAGTGATCCTGCCTGAGCCCCGTAGACGCATTCACACCCAACCCACCTAGAATCGCGGACTATCGCAACAAGAAGCAAAGTTACGCCGGGGGTGGGGAGCGAAGGATAGGGAGAGAGTAAAGGCTCGCATCCGTTGCCAAAAGACATCGCTGGAGCCTGAGGCTATTCTTCCTAGTAAATCCTGCAGTACTGCGCCCGCTAATCGCAGGTCCGACCCAGCCAATCGCGCCAAAACACCAACACCACCAACACTCCCCCACGCGTCTGTAGAGGCTCATCTACCACGACGCTCACGATGGATGAAGGTAAGATTGCGAAAGCTTTGACTGAGCCACTGCATCGCCTGCGTAATCGCAAACTTGCACAAGCAGCACGAGAACGCTACGAGCATGTATAACTACGCGCTGTTTCGTGTCGGGATGAAAGTCATCACCACTCAGCGATAGCAACGACTCAGCCTCATTTCACACTTGCGCATTCGTGATTCACACAACAAGTCGTCTTTACAACGAACGTTCTATCCCCCATGTCTTCAGTCCTGTCGCTAGAAATCGCGCGCGCCCTCTTCCCATCCCTCACCAAGGACCAGTCGCCCGGACCATCGTCAACAGGATCCATTCATTCATCTATCAACTTCGACGCGAAGTTTCATATCAAAATGAAAGCGTCTGAAAACCTCAACTTCTCGGCTCTGCCCAGCGAGTGCATCGGGTACGTTGCACCGCTACCACATGTCGGTCTAGCCACCTCACAATGGCGACGAAGAGGATGAATTTGGGGTTCGCACGCGTGGAAGGAGGGCTATTGGAGAAAAGGGGGAAGCATAGTATGTGTTGCACTAAAACGCCAAACAAATGCTATTGCTCGCGCCCTGAAAAAGGCAGGAAGAAAAAAATAAAACCACTAACTAAACGTCTAAAATCATACACCACCACAACCATGCCCATCTACCACCGACCCTCCTTTACTGCACATCAAGCACATTCTTCAACTGCACAATCAACTTCCACTCATCCTGACTAACATCGCTCCTAAAGTACTCCTTGAGCGTATCAATACTCTTTCTGCTAATAGCAGAGTAAAGGATGTCGTCTTCCTCCAAGTGGCGACCGTACATGGGCTGGTTGGAGCCTTCGATCTTGACGGCAACGGAAGGCTGGCCTCGCTTGCAGATTTGCATGGGTTTGTGGTCGCGCTCGATGGACGTGCTGTTGAAAGGATTAGTAAGGTGATGTGGGAGGGAGGGAGGGGAAAGGTATGGGACAACTTACACTCTTCCTAGATGGACGAGCTCTTTGGCACCGGTGGTGGCGTTCTTCTTGACGGCGCAGATGGGCGTTGTCATTCGGAGTGCGCCTTCTGTGACATCCACACCGATAATGATGGGATCCTTCTTGTTGAAGACAGCAACGGGCTTGAGTACGCAGGGGAAGACGGCCAACATCTTTGAGTCTTCCTTCCGCTGTTCCTCGAGCTGCTTCATGTGCGCTGTGAACTTGTCGAACAAGTGGTAGATGATGTCGGCTTCGAAGATCTTGACACCGATTTCCTCTGCGTATGCCTTGGCGTCCTTGTCGACTTTAACGTCGAAACACAGCATGACGGCGTATTCCTTGGCCTTTTCTAACATGATACCTGCACGAAGGACGTCCTTTCTGAAGACAGGTCCGATAGAGATGGTGGCGACGGGAATCTTCGATACACGTAGGAACTCAAGGAGAGCTTCGAGTGAACCAAGGGTAGACGCTTGTACGGAGACACCACGACCAGTCTTGGAGACCTTGCTGAGCAAATGGGCTAGATCACCCATGACCTCGTCCATGAGATCCTCCTCGTCGTCATTCGGACCGACGACAAGCAGACGCGAACCTGCGATGGCTTGGTCGAGACCGTCGGCGGCAATCTTGATACCCATGGCAGCTTTGACTTCCTTGTTGTGCACGTATTGCGACTTGACACGCAACTCCTTCATCTCAGCCGGTGTCAACAGCGCTCGAATATTCGTCACTATAGGCTCCGGGTTACCGCATAGCACTATCCGGTCACCCTCGTGAAGGACACCGTTGGACAAGATAACATCGATAGTGGTACCGAGACCTTCGATGACCTTGACTTCAAGCACAGTACACTCAACCTCTGAAAGGTACATGAGGTTGTTAGTCAGACGCTCTTGCGTGAGTCTGACGATGAGCTTGATCATGTCTGGAATACCTTCTCCGGTATGCGCTGATGTTGGGCACACGGAGACGAACTTGGACATGCTCTTGTTTCGGTTGAAGATCTCCGAGTTGAAACCTTGTTCTTGGAGTTGGGTGCGAACA